ATTTGAAACTACCTCAAGGGTATATTCAACACCATTTGCTTTCCATAACAAGTACAGCAATGAAACGTTGCTCGCAGCAGCATCTACTGATGGGAAACTGTGGATCTTGGAATCTAAGAGTGGACAATTGCAAAGTATGTATGAACTTCCTGGAGAGGTATTCTCTTCTCCTGTGGTTTGGGAATCAATGCTTATTATTGGATGTAGAAATAATTATGTTTATTGTCTAGATTTGTTGGATAGCAATAAAAAATAAGTACAGTCTTAATTAGAAGATATCTGAGATGTTTGACAATATTTATCATTATAAAGCATGTGGATGGTCTTATTTTATGATAAAGATTATATTTTGTTTAAGAAACTTGTCTATTACCCTTTATTGGAGAACAGCCATATTTTATTTCCTGTAGGAGCAACAATACTTGTAAAAGGAGTTATAAAACAAAACATCAATATATTTAGTAGCACTTTCTAAATTAGGCTACAGATATTTTATTTTTTTATAGAAGACCTCTGAAAAACAAGATCAGAATATACTTAGTGGCTTAAAAACTTAATCTGTGAGGTACTACACCATTCACTCATTTATACTGAGATTTGTAACAAAAGATTTTTAAAGGTAGGAGCTATTCATCAAATTAGGTCCCTTATTAAATTTTTTAAATGAAATTTATTGGGATAGCATTGGTTAATAACCTTATATAAATTTCAGGTGTACAACTTTATGACATCTGCACACTCTATTATGTGCTCACCAGCTGAAGTCGTCTCCTTCTGTCACCATATATTTGACCCCCTTTACCCTCCTCATCTTTCCCCCACCCCCTTCCACTTTGGTAACCACCATTCTGTTGTCTGTATCTGTGAGTTTATTTGTTCATTTATTGCTTTTGGTTTTATATCCCCCATACAAGTAAAATCATACAGTTCTTGTCTTTTTCCACCTGATTTATTTCACTTAGTATAATACTCTCAAAATTCACCCCCATTAGGTCAAATGGCAGTATTTCATCTTTTTTATGGCTGAGTAGTTTTCCATTGTATATATGTATCACATTTTTTTTCAAAATTATAAGAGGAAGTTTGTTTAGAAAGTTATAGAGGTAGTAAAAGTGAGCCATAGAAGAAATGGGCTAAGGAAACAAGTTACAGAGGCAAGAGAAGGGCCCTTGGAGCTTAGGAAAGTACATGTGATAAGATTTGAGCACCTGCTCTGGGGGGAGGGGGAGAGAGAGAGAGAGAGAGCGAGAGCGAGCGCGCGCCTGTGTGGTTCTTTTTTTTAATGTATTTTTTAATTGATTTTTTACAGAGAGGAAGGGAGGGAGATAGAAACATCAATCAGCTGCCTCCTGCACACCTCACACTGGGGATGTGCCCGCAACCAAGGTACATGCCCTTGACCGGAATCGAACCCGGGACCCTTCAGTCCACAGGCCGACGCTCTATCCACTGAGCCAAACCGGTTAGGGCATCTTTTTTAGAGTTTAAGTATCAATCTGCAGGTGCAGGGGCCTCATGTGTGCGGGCTATGGCACCCTCCTGATCCTGCTGGATCTAGCTCCAGGAAGGGTGCTGGGGACATGCAAACATGGCCTTGCTGGTCAGCCAGAGAACCTGGATAGGACTTGGGCCCGCCATCCAAGTGCAGGGGAAATGTAAACAGTGGCGCTCACCGGTTTTTCCTGTCCTGGAGCGTTCCCTCAGCTCCTGGAGAGCTGCTGTGGTTCCCAGCCTCTTCTGTGTGGTCTCTCTTGTTTGTTGTGCAGAGGCTGTTCTATTGGCCCTCAGTTGTCTCTCAGGAGGAACTCCTCTAAATATAGGTATACATTTGATGTATTTTTGGAAGAGGGCAAGCTTAGCAACCTCCTATACCACCATCTTGGACTCGCCTCCAAAACAGTATTTGAGTTTTTGTGCACCAAGGCGAGTACCTCACCCACATCACTCACTGCGACCTAGTCTAGCCATGTGGGTCAGTAGCTCTGGCCCGGGGCCCTAAGCTGTGTTTTTCACATGCATTCAGCTTTGAAACATGCTGCTGTTCCATCACCCACACTCTGAGTAAGGAGGTTGTAGGATCATATTGTCTGAGACACAGACCATTTGATTCCAACTGAGGATTAAGATAAACATTTTATTTGACCCTATTCATTAGTTTTCTCCAAAAACACCTAGTAAAAAATATAATAAGGTACCATATAAAATGCCTTGAAGTATTTCTTTTGCAACAAAAGCTATGTAAATATGAGCTTGCTTGAAATTAGTAAAGACATAAACTTGAAAAGGAAAATTCTGTTGGTGCTAAAGATCTTGTGGGTATTTTTTATTGAAAGATCATTTTCCTTCAATAATGGACATTTTACATTAAAACTTTATACAACCAAAATCTAAAAATAATATTAAAATCACACTAAGGTATTTTCATGGTTAAGCCTCTACTTAATTTTATTGTTGGTAAAAATATTGCAAGACACTTGTAACTCTAATATTTCTGCTTTAAAATAAGCAATTAAGCTAAATGTCACAAGAAGAGACAATACATACTACAATTTGCTGATAACTGGCTAAAATGATAATTTAATAGAAATTAATGTATAAGAAACAATTGCACTTGAAAAATTTAAAAAGTAAACAAAAACTCTAGTTATATATATATGTCTATGAACAGAGGTTAATCATCTATAACCTTGCCAAGGGAAGTGTGTGTATGTTTTAATTAAAAACAAATAAACAAAAAACCACCTGTGTATTTAACATTGCAATAGGATTTTTTTAAAAGTCTTGAATTTTTTGTTTTTACAGAATTTCCCCCATAGTTTGTTGATGAGTAAAGACTGCAACACAATTAAAGCAAAATAACACTTCATTGGTATTTAGTGCAAATTTGGAGTAATTTTTACATGAAATATTAAACATATATCCTTTAGAAGTTGTTGGAAGTAAATGCTGTGACTGTGCTTTCCTCAGTATACTCTTCTTTTAAAGATTTTGAAGGAAACTTTTTAACTGAGTTATTTCTCCTATTTTGTATGGGCTTTATGGTAAGTGAGCCAGTACAGAGTGCACTCATCTACCATTCTTCGTTAGATTTCTTTACTTGCTCTCTGCCATTACTGTGACATCCAAAACTGATAAGATGATAGAAAAGGTCAATTCAGATGAATTACTGTAGCACTAAAATTCCAGGACTCAGGTGAAAAAACTCCGATTAAAAAGTGTTATATTACTGAGGAAATCATTGAAACTAACAAATGTCTACATATTTGACTTAAAAATGAACATCAGCTGGAAAACGTGCAGTAGAATATTGCTTCCCATAGCGATAAAAAAAATTAAAGTTCCATTGATTCTTAACAGTCTGAAGGTCCAGTATATATATATATAATATTAAATCCTACTTGCAAGAGTACGGCTGTCCTTATGACCACACATGCCAGCTGCTACCATAAGGCCGAGCCATCGTCTCCAGAAAGAAAATGCCTTCTATATGGTAAATAACTGCCAGTCATCCTTTCTTTAAGGTAAATGGTAGAATAACAGCACAGAATAATAGCACATTGCCTGTTAAGTGAGCATAAAGGAGAATAATGATGCATAATAATAAAATGTGTTTTTCTGTAGGAGAGGAAAAAAGGATGTAATTTTCCTCGCACTGGGCAAAAGATCTGTACTTACACTTGGGAGTCAGGAGCTAAGAAAATGGGAATGTGCCAACACCACGAAATGTAAAATTAGCAGCAGCAATGTGTGGGCTTGCTGTATGTCTGTGTTTCATGTAAAGCAAATTTAGGGAAATAGTGAATATATGTGGCTTTTAAATAGCCAGGTCCCTTCTTTGTATCACATGTGTATAATAACAAGGCCACTTAAAACTCTGAGATGTTTTTTAAAGGTAGCAAGGTGAATGCTCTGAATGATAAATGCTATTGAATATTTGACTCTGAATATGAATTAGTCAGTTATGGTAAAGAAGGAAACTTCCCACAGGAGATCCTTAGTACAAAGGCTCCAAATCTTATCTTCCTGTTAACTAAACAGCTGGGGGAGGGAGAATGGTTTTATTATTTTTCCCATCTCACTTTTGCTTCTTTGGGTGCAGAGTCTCCCTCTCAGAGTTTTAAAATCTAGATTACAGTAGAAGCAGTGTATTCCAAGGTTCTCAACCTTGGATATATCAGAATTCATTTGAAGAGTTTTGAGAGAATATACGTTTCTAGCCCTGTCCTCACAGTAGGCCTGATGGAGCCTGGACATCTCAAGAACAACTGCACTAGGTGGGGGGAGTCTCAGACAGAAAGATAATTTGTAGTTTCCTTTTTTTACCATATTAAATAAAAATGTTCCCTAGGAGCCAAATGGGCCAAATGTTGAACATGTCCTGAAGGAGAGTCCTGGTGTAATGGGGCCTGTGGATCAGTGTGGAAGAGGCATGGATGGATTCCCTTTCTGTGTTAGTTCAGGTTGGGGAAAATTCATGAAAACCAGACATGGGCAGAGTTGGGAGCCAGACTGTGACTTGCAATTCAGTTACTGGCTGCTCTCGGGAGAATGAGGGTTCTTATTTCTCTCTCCCTGTGGTCCTTTCACCATTGCTGTAGAAAAAGATAGAAATCCTTAAATATGGCAGGGTAAAGGTTTTGGATGAAAGAAATTGGAGCAAAGAGTCAAAAAACCATTATAAAGATTGGCAAAAGTACATGTTCAGTGGTGTGTGGGTGTCCATGTGTGGAAGGGCTATGGAATGGGGTGGCAGGCTCTCCTGAGGAGTTCTTAGGAGATCTTGCTTCCTGTGGTCCCTCGGACAGAACTTTCTCTTTAGAACTAGGAGGAGCTCAAGGCACCAGGACCTAGGGTTGTGCAAATACACTCTTACAAGGAATATCACCAGTTCAGTTTCTAAATGTTATTTTAGAGCCTATAAAACATGCTTCTTTTCCCTAGCTTGGTTTCTTTACCTCATATAAAAAATAAATAAATAAAAAGGACAAGAGAGGAGCCAATAACTGGGAATAGGAATGGAGAAGAGTCACTCTTTACTTAATAATCTGTGGGCAGTCGCTCCAGGCCTTGGCTTTCCTTTTGGCCAAAGCCAGCCAGGCTGGTTCTGTTGACACGGGAGCAGCATCTGGGGTGGAAAACCTCTTTGTGACTTCTTTCACCAGTGGCGCTGGGGGAGGCGAATCAGAGATCTCCACTGGGTTGCATTTTGAAGGAAAAGGAGAAAGGTATGAGTCAGAGCCACACTTTGATGTATCATACAATGGGATTCAGAAAGGAAAACTCAGTGAGACACTGGGCATCTTCGTTGAGAATTAGAGAAAGCAAGCTATGTGATTGTAACTGTTAACGTGCAACGTTATAGTGATCACAGTGCAGTCAGTCCTAATTTCAGATAATTTCTAGAAGCATTTTTTTTCTGTGCACAGAAGTTAGGTCTGCATGATAATAAAAAATAAAAGGTAAATTTTGTAATTCTAATCATATAGCCAATCAATGTCATGAAGAAAACGATCAAACAAGCAGTTTGGATTTACCAAGCTGGTGAGGTCAAAAGTGCCCGCCCTCACCAGGCACGCCTGGGGTTCCTTCCCCCTCAGGTCCACAGATCCTGCCAGCTCTTAGGACTCTCAGTCTTGTCTAGCAATTCTTTTGCCTCATATTGCTTTCTTACCACGTCATAAACACTTAAGGTGAGGGTTCCCACCCAAAGCAGACCTCAGGAACTACTGGTGGGAAAGACAAATACAGTATTTCAGAACAAGGGTGGCTATCATAACTGGAGCCACCTGAAATGCAGCAACCCTTTGGAGCAGTGGTTCTCAACCTGTGGGTCGCAACCCCTTTAGGGGTCAAACGACCCTTTCACAGTGGTCGCCTAACACCATCGGAAAACACATATATAATTACATATTGTTTTTGTGATTAATCACTATGCTTTAATTATGTTCAATTTGTAACAATGAAATTGGGGGTCACCACAACATGAACTGTATTAAGGGGTCGTGGCATTAGGAAGGTTGAGAACAACTGCTTTGGAGCTTCTAAGAAATCAGGGCAGAGAAAGGTGTAATCTCTGATTTTGGAGCTTCTCACTTAATTTTGAACTAATTCTCTGACACACCCACATAATGTATAGAGCCCTTAATTCCTGGGTATAAAAGCCTAATGAAATAATACCCATGGAGGTTCTTGAGAAATTGTACAGTGCTCCAAAGCGGTTTCTAAAAAAACTGTTTTCTCCTCACCAAATAGTAAATACAGCTTTCATGGTGAGACCTCTTTACATTTCCAGAACTCAGCACGCAGGTAACCAAGGCGTTTAAAAACCCTGGGTCTGGAGGTTGGATGCCCTCCTGGGAACAGGGCTGCCCAGGGTGCACAACATGCCCTATTAACCCTGGAGGAAACTTGTTTAGATTCATCCCTCCTCCAGGCGATTTGTAATAAGCACATAGTTGGAAACATGGATCATTTTACCTTTTATTAGAATCAAGGATTTTAAAAAAATGTGTAGGTATCTTTTATAAAGTGTCATGAACGTATCAACACTGCTGTTGTTAATTAACATCCAGGACTTTGAGCCGAACAACCTTGCTCTCTGAAGTCACAGCTGGTCAGACACTTGCCCTTTGAAATCGCATTGGCGAAAGGGACCATCCATCCCACTTTGGAGCATCTCAGCCACCTGGGTCACTGACTCAAACACAGCTTCTGTTTCCATCCCAGGTACAGAGCTCCAGGTGGGGGTTTTCAGATACAACTTTCACACATTTATTTTAACGTGGTAGTGCCAGGAAAACGGGGCCCCGAGTCTACTTTTCAACTCAGGCTTGATATCAACCCCTTCATGTACACCCCACACCCTCGCTTTGCTTTAAGCCTATCAAAACTCTGCTCCACTTAAATTTTACCTAAACTTCACCCTTTCCCCCAAATTCTACTAGAATAGTATCTCTTCCTTTGTTTAGAGGTCCTTAAGATATGTAGTCTCCCTTACTACAGCAAGTTAATAAACCTAGTTTTGTTGGACTACAGGCAGTGGGGCATTGAAGATGGCTCATATCACACCTTGTTAACTTCAGAAATTTATCAGACCACATTGATAGGTTGAAATTGGCCATGGTGGGAATATTTACACCACAGTACATGGCACATACTACAAATCAGAGGATTCTCTGCTCCCTAACTGATTGCTAAAACAATGGCCATCACACCACTGACAGTGAGTTTCTGGTGGTCTTTGTCAGATGAGCTGATGATCAGCGTCTAAGTTTATGAGAGTGGTGGTGAAACAGCCTGTGCTGATATTACACCTGAGGAAATAAAGCATGCTCCAAGAAGAGAAACCTGTAACTGAGGTCAAACAGAAATGGTCCTGCTCTCGCTACCTGTCACAGATGTGGGAAGGGTGTTGGCCTTTTTCAGCTGCTCTCTGCGCTCAAGCCTGGACCCTGCTGTCTCCGGCTTCTTGTCTTCTGGATGAGCCATGGACTTGAGCAGGGATCCAGCTCTGCTGACACTGCTGCTTCCTGGCTGTGGACTGACACTGACCTGGGTGGGCACAGAAAGGAAAAGTATGTTTTCAACCTAAGTACATGCAAAGACGCACAGTGCAGGGCCTGGGGGGTTCTGCCGGTCAGCACCAGCTTCTGTTCCCAAAGGAGCAGTTGGAGTGCACTTGGGAGCAACGTGTCTCCAACCCTGGCCCCGATCATGAAGCAGCTCAGTACAAATGTCCCCAAGAGGGGACGCAACTTTCCTCGAAGAGCCCCGTCAAGTTAACTGTAAAAGCAGGGCCACAGAGAGAGACTGATTTCCTCCAAAGCCCTGCTCCCATACAATCATCTTCATATTCCTCACGTAACTGTCGTGTGTGTGGATTGTTGCTACTAATGACATTGTGAATTCTGCCAAATCAAGTTACCTTAATAGCATAAGGGAACTGAATAAAATTTCTGACTGAAAATGCTTTCCTGTCTAATGGTGGTTAATTTGTTTATTGCTCTATTCTTTCTAGATATTCTACACCACTCCCAGTTAGCTTTTTTTTTTCAAAAAAATTTTTTTAAAATTGATTTCAGAGAGGAATGGCGAGGGAGAGAGAGATAGAAACATCAATGATGAGAAGCAGCTGCCCCTTACTGGGGATCGAGCCTGAAACCCTGGCATGTGTCCCAACTGGGAATCGAACCATGACCTCCTGGTTCATAGGTGGACATTCAACCACTGAGCCCCACTGGCTGGACTTTCTTTTCCTTTTTTAAGTTCTTGCAGCCATAGAAGAGCCAAGCTCAGAAAGGCAAGGTTAAAGCTGAAGACCAGGCTACTCACGTTGTCCTTGGAGAGCTTTTCTGCCTGTTTGGCCTCCCTCGCTTGCTTCCTCTCCTCTCGAGTCGCTTGCTGCTCCCGAAACCCCTTCTGCTTTTGCAGGGCTAACGTTATCCACAGTGGCTGCGCGGTTTCAACTTTCTCCACAAGTTTGGAGCCATCTAAAGAGTGTCTGCTCTGAAGCACCGGCTTTTCTGTGGGGGGAAAAAGACTGATATTGTGATTTGTGGTAAGAAATACATATTTGGTCTTTGTCCTGTTTCTGGCACAGAGCTAAGTGATGAGAGCGTAAAGGTGACTCATGTTATGTGAATGAGGCTACTTAGGGACCACACTTAAGGATGGGGGGAGGGGGGGAGAGGCTGGTTGCTGGGTGAACCAACTGAGTAATCAGAAGATTAGAGCTTACAATCTCACCCCCCAACCTCCTGGGAGGGGGGAAGCCTGGAGGTTGAATCAATGGCCAAAGATCTAACCAATCATACCTGTGTAATGAAGTCTCCATAAAACCCCAAAGGTCAGGGTTTGGAGAGCTTCTGGGTTGGTGACGAGGTGGAAGTGCCGGGAGGTTGGCCACCCAGAGAGCATGGGACCTCCCCGCCCTTTCCCCATACCTTGTATCCTTGTATGCATCTCTTCCACCGGGCTGTTCCCGAGTTCTATCCTTTTTATAACAAACCAGTGATCTAGTAAGTCAAATGTTTCTCTGAGTTCCATGAGCCACTCGAGAATATTAATCAAACCCAAGGAGGGGGTTCCTGGGAACCTCTGATTTTAACCAGTCAGAAGCACCTGGATCTGAAGGTACAGCCTTATGGGACTAAGCCCTTAACCTGTAGAATAGAACACCATCTTGAGTTGAATTGTAAGACACCAGCTGGTGTCTGAGAATTGCTGGTGGTGTGGGACTCCCTCCCCTGCAACACACACCTTTGAACTGTGATCAGAATTAGTAAAGACAAAAGCCAGCTTTCAGTGAAATGAACTGTTCTCGTACCTCAGTACCTCACCCCCTAAAACTTGTGACGTATTCATCAGCCCGCTGAACATTCAACTGGCCCTTCCTAATAAAACTCCGTGCTCATGCCTGAGCGACTCCACTGGGTAGGAAAGTACTATCTTTGATCAACAGAAACAAGAGCCTTTCTCTTCCCTCTAAATAGAAAAAAAATCTCCAGTGTCATAAAATCTCAGACCAACAAGGGACCCAGGGGGTTATTTGATTCATTGTTGTTCTTTTTTAATTTACCGCTTTTCAAAATTTTGCAAAAACTTTCCCCCCTTACAAACAGTATCCTATGTGGAACCCCAAAGTATGAAAGAGGAAAATGGGGGCACTGTTCTGCCCCGGGGTCTGCTAAGGGCAGCAGGGCTCTGAGGAACCCAGTGGGAACCATGATTTTGGCCCAGTGCCCTCCTTTGATAGACGTGAGTAATGAGGTCCACAGTGACCAAGTCCCGAGTCCGAGGTCACCCAGCAGTTAGTGTACAGGCTGAATTGTGAACCGAGGGCTTCCGGCTTCCAGCCTGTGTTTCTCTTACATTGACTGTCTTGCCTATGCAACTGGGGTAAACACACTTCACAGATGGGTGGTAGCTGAGGTTGGGCTCTAGAACTGAGCAGACCTGGGTTTGACCTTTTGTGGCCTTAGGAAAGCTACTTAACTCCTCTAAGAAGGGAGACACTTTAATTTGAAATAGTGTTTGGAGTTCTGATTATGACACTGGAGGGGACATATTAATTACTAACATGAGACTGTTGTTACTGCAAGTGCCTAGGGGACTTTTTCTTTTCAAAAAGTGACAGAAACTATAGGAAGAACTCCGACCGCTTAACAACAAAAAACAAAATACCCAATTAAAAATGAACAAAGGACTGGAATAGACATTTCTCTTAAGAAGACATACAAATGACCAACAAGCATATAGAAAGATGCTCAACATCACTAATTACTAGGGAAATGCAAATCAAAACCACAATGAGGGTATCACCTCGCACCCATTAGGATGGCTACCGTAAAAAAAAAATCAACAGAAAATAACAAGTGTTGGCGAGGATGTGGAAAATTAGAATTCTGTGCACTGTTGGTGGGAATATAAAATGGTACAGCTGGTGTGGAAAACAGGTTAGTTCTGAAAAAAATTAAAAATAGAACTACCATAGAACCCGGCAATTCCATTTCTGGGCTTTTATCCAAAAGTACATGGGATGTTTGCACACCCATGGTCATAGCAGCACTAGTCAAACGAGCCAAGAGGTGCAAGCAATCTAAGTGTCCATGGACAGATGAATGGATAAACCAAGTGTGGTATATACACACAAGGGTAGGTCATTCAGCCTTAAGAAGGAAGGGAATCCTGTCATATGCTACAATATGGATGAACCTTGAAGACATTGTACTAAGTGAAATAAACCAGTCCACCAAAAAAGACAATACTAGATGATTCCACTTATGTGATGCTTCTAGAGTAGTCAGATTCATAGAAACAGAAAGTTGAATGTTGTTTAATGCTTATAGAGTTTCAGTTTTGCAAGATGAAAAATTTGCTGTGCACAATGTGAAATATGCTTAAGACTACTGAACTGTACACTGAGAAAAGATAGCCAATTTTATGTTACACACTTTGACCACAATAAAAATTGTTTTCTAAAGTGACTAAAAGAACTGTGCCCAAAATATTATCCAAGAGATGCAGGGAAAAATGAGAATCATAGATCAGGTTTAAAAGAACTGCAAGAAAAGGAACAAGACAAGAAGGCTTTGCTAAATCCTACGGCATTTTTAAACAATGTTGTTTTGAACAAATATATGGGTAAGGTCCAAGAAGTAACATGAGGACATAATCAGAAATGTTTTTAAAGGCTAACAGCATTTTACAAATGCCAGGTGAGAGTTACTGGAGGCGGTCCTAGGTTACTGGGAAGATCATTTTACCTGGGAGAGAACTCTTCCCCAAACTGGCTTTACCACTGTGGGGAGCAGGCAAGTCATCAGACTTCTCAGATGTTGGTGTTGTCATCTGTAAAACTGAGCTAAGATTGTCTACCTCTACATATGCCGTGAGGCTGAACTAAATGTTATAAATAAAAACACTTTGTAAATGATTAAGCACAAAGGATGACCGTTGAAATTTTCCAAAGCAGTAAAATCACTCATTCAAGGTTTTGAAAGATAGAGATGTTCTTTGTTAATCACATAACCTTTTTGGTTGGGGAGTTCAGAATATCTCATTAAAATTTTATTTTGTTGCAATGTTTAAACCTATTCTCTCTCATTCTAAACTCAGTGGACAAGCAGAACCACAGCCCACTTAAGTTCCCTCCTTCAGGTCCCGGGGAGACACGCAGGCACCTCCTGGCATTTACGGGGTTCTAATCATTGCTCCCCAGGGTCAGTGCTTGGAGAAAAGGCCAGTTACTATCTGTTCTACCCGCCGTCAGGGGCTCAGGGGCTGGGAGTTTCCGAATGAGATATCTGTAATCAAAGTGTTACAGG